GGCTACTAGCCACTGCTAGACCTATCCTCCATGAATCTAATCCCCTTTTAAAGCTGTTTATTCCTGTGGCCATGACCAGTGTTCCCTCTAAGCTGAGTAAATGTGAGCTAGCTCACAGATTTTCAGCCTCCGGCTCACACATTTTTTGTCTTAGCTCAGGAAAGATGGCTCCAGAGCAAGCTAATTTATGCAGTAGCCATATTGCTCGCTCACAACTTTAATGCCAGTAGCTCAACAAGTAGAATTTTTGCTCACAAGACCCCACAGCTTAGAGGGAACATTGGCCATGACTATATCCCCTGGCAGTGAATTCTACATCTTAATGTCTCTCTGTGTAAAGAAGTAATTCCTTTTGCCTGTCCTGTATCTACTGCCCATCAGCTTCATTGGACACCCTCATGTTTTAGTATATTGGGAGAGGGAGAAAAAATGCTGCACCTGTTTACTCCAGAACATTTGCATCAGGGTCCCTGTGTTGCTGAAATGCCAACAGAACTTTATGCTTTGCCAAACTGATCTACTGTTAACCGTTGGTGTTTACTTCCAGCCTTTCAATGAATACCATCCCAGTCAAAGCACTATGTAGCAACCGGGAACAACGTATATTTACATAAGGGTGCAGCAAGTCTTCCAAGTCAGGTTATCAACTTGAGTAACATTCCTAAATGCCTTTAGCTGTGCTAACATATGTTACTTCAGCATTCATACCAATGACTCTGTAAGTACAGTTGCTGTTCCCCACTTGGGGGCAGGGGATTACCCGGGGTTTTTTGGCTCCTACCACCACCGGCCAGCTGGCCAGTGGGAGGAACCCCCCCCTCCCAAAGCTACATCACTGGAAATAAATGTGACGTGCCTACATCACCCGAAAGTGTCGTAGGCCCGTTAGTGATGTTGGGAGGCAATGCTCTGGTTTTTGGGCAAAGCTCTATGGTCTGAGGCTGATTTTACCATAGAGTTTTGCCCAAAAACCAGAGCATCACCCCCTGACGTGCCTACGTCACTGCTGGGTGATGTAGGCACTTTGTGCAACATCACTTCCTGCTCCCGGAATGTCTCCCCCATCCCCCTGCCGGCATTTCAGACCAACCTGGCAACCCTAACTTTCAGGCAGGCCAATATTATTACCTCTTGCATTACAAATGAGGAAATGAAGTTAAAATGATGCCGTTTGCTAAGGCCAGCCAGTGAGTTCATGAGTGAGGTGAGATCTGAACCAGGAATTTCTCAACTCAGTAAATGAGTAAACTCACAGAGTAACTGTATGAGCCTGGAATCCCACAGTTCTAATTCCAATTCAGTCATTTATTCACTGGGTGACCTTAGCTTTTGTCTTCCACTCATCCTGTAGACAGTAGACCATTTCCGTGAAGCACGTAGGGAAAAGTATTACGTTCACAATGATCTCTTATCAAATACTTTCCCCCACTGAAACCTGCTTTCTGTAAAACTATGAGCTGGTTCACACATACACATTTCCCTCAAGATGGGTAGCCATGTTAGTCTGTCTGTAGCAGTAGAAAAGAGTAAGAGTCAAAATAATAAAAAATCCCCTCCGGGGGCTTCAAAAAAACAAAAGAAAAGAAAAGAGTAAGAGTCCAGTAGCACCTGACAGACTAAGAAAATTTGTGGTAGGGTATGAGCTTTTGTGAGTCATTGGTATCTGAAGAAGTGAGCAATGATTAACGAAAGCTCATACCCTACCACAAATTTTCTTAGTCTGTAAGGTGCTACTGGACTCTTACAAATTTCCTTGATGGTTCAGGGCTGACTGTGTGAAATGACTCCACTGAAGAGAAGAGGTTGTCTACTCACACATGCAACTTATCATTTGATTACAAAATCACACAACAAACAAGCTTTTACAAACCAATACTATGTTGAGCTACATTTTGGTTCTTAAGACTTCTGCTGATTTAAGTCCCATTATTTCACCCAGGATTAAAGCCAGGAAGCTCCACTGTTAACTTACCTGTTGGTCATCACTACGCTCCAATCAGCTTTTTTGGTGGTGGAAAGTGCTGTCAAAGTCACCATCAACCCTGTAGGTTTTTCGAGGCCAGAGACGTTCAGAGGTGGTTTTAGCCATTGCCTGCCTCTGAGTAGCAACCTTGGACTTCCTTGGTGGTCTCCCCTCCAAGCACTAACCAGGACCGACCCTGCTTAGCTTCCTAGACCTGACTTGATTGGGCTGCCCTGGGCCATCCAGGTCAGGGCAGCCTGTGTTTTATTTAAGACCTGCTAAAATTATCACCAAGAGGCCAGGGATGCTCTTAGCTGACTCTCTTCTGACTCATGTCATTTGTGTTTAGTAGATGCAGAGAACCATCCTAAATTGGTCTGCTCATATCTACTGCAATTGGCCTTATTCCCCCAAATAGCATTTTTAGGATTATAGTGGCAATGTAATATTCTGATTGCGTCTTATTTCTAATAGCCACATGTGCAACTCTTTTATCTGGCTGGAAAGGATAAGGAAACTACACACATCTTTTTCCGTTTTCTTCCCAATACAGATTGGGAGCTATTCGTCCATCAAAGAAACACACAAGCTGCCATTCTGGACCTGATAGTTCCACCTTATCTAGTTATCCCACATTTTAATTCCACCCTTCATATTGGGAGGAAGAAGTTCTGCTTTCCTACTTTATCTTCACAACAACCCTGTAAGGGAGGTTAGACTGAGTGGCCCAAGGGCACCTAGTGATATGCACAGGTGAGTGAGGATTTTATGCCAGGTCCTAGTCAAAACTAAGCACTACACCTCACTGGCTCTCTATTTTAATTCCCCACTGCTAGCTGCCTCTGGGCACACATTAGCCATGTATGAAAATAATGTCCATCCCCTGTCGTCTGTCCCTGGAATCTGACCCTTGAGGATACACTGCCTCTGTACACAGAGGTTCCGTTGTCTGACGACTCATAACCACTGCTGTCTATACATTTGGTCGCTTTTACCTAGTGACCTGGATATTGCGAATATCTTTTGTTTCTCCAGAATCTTTTTTGTATTGTTCTTCATTTCATCTGCTACGAATCACCCGGAGGCCATATGAAAATGACTCATTTTCTATACTGACGATTTCAGTTACTGATTGCTCACTGCAGATTGCGAGCGTTAAAGCTACTTTTCACGGCCAAGTCGCATTGTAACTGGCAGCACCTTTGTGCCAGATCCGCAAAATCATGCCATTATAGCTATTGCAGAACTGACAGTCTAATGAAATCCATATATAAGACGTATATTTATGCTGATTTTTCAAATACAGATTAATCAATGGGTAGAATGGAACGGATGTGCCAGTTACATTTTTACACACACACCCGTCTCAATTTTATTCTAAAGCTCACATCTTGTAGAAAACAGAATCCAGAGACATTTTGGAACTTTTAACCGCCCGGCGGAGGATCTTCTGTGGCTATACCCAACCAGTCTGATTTATTTTTAAAAAACTGAAAAAGAGATTTTGTAAAGGAACCAATCCACCAGTATCACAATATGCACAATCTTCTGGGAAATTTTCATGTGCAAGCCCTGCTGGATTGGATGAGAGAGGTGGAAGAGTGCTGTATTTGAAATGTGAGCAGGGTAGCTTCCCAAAGGATTGAGCCCAAAGATACTCCTAGTGGAGAGAGAGATCATATGGCCCTCCTGTTATATACAATGCAAGACCTTATCAGCCGCAACAATGTCTGCTACGACATCCACTTAAAAATAATTAATTAGCCAACAGATTGTGTCTTCACAAAGGGCACCAATATTGAGCCACTGTTAGTCAACAACAGTTACACACATTACTGTCACAGTAGGCAGTTTATTTACCCTCACTGATCCCATAGATATTTTCAGTGATGTTTTAACTGTTAATTACTACTGCAAATAAAATAAAATACAGGTTCTAATTAGGCACACTTAAGACCCACTGAATTCAACAGGGCGTGTCAGATTGCATGAATTCAGTGGGACACCGTGAGGACCAGCTTTCTCTGGGGGTGGGGTGCAGTGTGGGAAATCGGCAGTGCCGTCCTAAGCAGAGTCACGCCCTTCTAAGCCTGCGGACTTCACTGGACCTAGACGGGGTAACTCTGCTTAGGATGGCACCGAAAGTCCAGGAATAAAAACACAACTCAATTAGCCAACAAACTATTGAATATTAAACACACAGCCCAATCTAAGCACATTCCCATCCCACCAATTTCGGCGCAAGAATTTCAAGCGCACACTTAAGATCTCCCACCGAAATGGGAACTGAGCTCTGCTTTGGTTGGAGGGTCAAGCCAGTTAGCATAACTTTCACTGCAAACAGGGGGGGAGGGGAAATCTCTGGAATCAGTTCTGAAGATGAGGGTGTGGCATAGGCTTTAACAGCAGTGTGACCCTCCAGCCCCAAAACAGCCCATATCAGCCATGTACTGTGATGTAGCAGGTGCTCAACAGCCCCATATTTTTGTAGTCCTGGGCAGCCAGCAAAAACAGGACGGCCAAGCCACTGGTGAGCCACCTTTCAGTTGCCAACTGGCCTGGAGGAAAATGTCCTATCACTTTAATACAGCCGTAATGTGTAGAAGAGGACAGTGGAAAGCCTTCAGGGCATGGAGGGAAACGGCGTCACCTGATAAATAATACCCCATTAAGCCTCTGTTAAAGGGGCAGGACTTTTTTCCTCCAGCCAGTTGGCAACAACCCTAGCATCCAGCATAAATGGAATTCATACTACACACATAAAATGACCCATATTTGTTAGGCTGTATTCAGCTTGATTATACAAGTTGTGTGGCAGACAAATCTATTTTGGAGGCAAGGAAAGAGAGTTTGGGCCAACCTTGCAAATGAGTCTACAAGTTCCTAGCCCTCAATGTTTTCACAACACCGCCCACTTACACAAACTGGAGAATAAGCTCTTCAAGGCCTAAATGGAATGGAAGAATTGCCTTTTGTAAACCTTCCCTGCCTTTGCATAGCTTGCAAGCCTGCTTGATATCAGAACTGCCACAACGGAAACAGATTTAACCCTAAGGCCCAATTTGCACCTAGCATTTGCTCCACTGTTTTACCAAACTGGAACAAAAAAAACACAGCTCAAAACCATTCTAATACATCGGGCCAAGGCTGCCCATACTGACTGCAGAGTCACTCCTGAATGGCCATAAAACGGCCATAAATCTATGCAGACGGGGACCATAAAACCAAGAGATCAAAGGAAGTGAAAGCAGCATGCAGTCTGGACACTGCCATAAAATCCGACAATCAAAGTGAAAGTGGCATGCGATGTAGAGGGGAAGTTCTGTCCCAGCGGGGGTTTGGTAAAACCGGGGAGCAAATGCTAGATGCCAATGACTCAGGCTGTAATCCTACACACACTTACCTTGGAGAATGCTCTCTTCAACACAGTGCACCTTCAAACGAAATAAGCACTGACACAGTATATAGATCAGAGCCAGTCTTCGCTGGCTATTTCAGTAAGACAGGAATTTTAAGAGCAACCGGCTACCTCGAATTGACTAAAGCGACACAATAACCACTGTACAGACTGCAGTAGGCAGCAGGATTTGAAACCGTGCCCAGTTGAAAGAAACATGGATTTCGCAGTGTCCAATTACACTCCGAGGTTTCACGGCTTTTCAGTCAAATTTCCCTCTCCCTCTTCTTAAACAGCTTATGGAAGAATCTGGTTTTTTAAAAGTCAGCGGGCACAGTCCCAGGAGTTGGGCCGTCAGGGCTGGCGTTCGCTTTTGTAAGAAGCAGCCATGTGCTTCCGTGAGAATGCTTTACACAGCCGTCCTCTGGTCCCAGGAAAGCCTTCCCACGCGCCCGCACGATCCGTGTCAGGCTCCTGCGTTACAAGTCAACTTGCAAGTAACAGCCGGGAACTTCTTTCTGCCGGGACCATCTGCTGGCGCGGGGGGGGGGGTGTGAGTTTAATAAAACACAAGCCGCTGCGGGTTCTGTTCCGCGCCAGCCCACAGACGACCTTTTTGTTGCTCCTTTAAAAAAAGAAATTCGTGCCAAAGCAAGCGCCCCAAAAGCGTGGGGATCCAGTCACCCCCGAATACAACACGTATCTACGCGCACACACGCAGGAGCAACCAAGCTAGAACAAACCTCAGCTTCCTGATTTTTGCTTTAAATCTTTTAAATTGACTGGCTGGATGTATACGTTTTGGGACGGGGAAAACACCAGTTCCCGGGTGCAGAAGCCGCCCCCTTTCCCCAGGACTTGAGGCCAGATCGTCCTCTCTTTATTTTTGCTTTCCAGGTCGGCTGGAGAAAGTTTTGCCTTTCTGCTTCGGTGCTTTCGGGAAGGAAGCCCCGCCGGGCAGCCCCCGGCGCCGGGAAGTGAATGAATGAAGGAGCGCTTCTCGCCGCCTGGAGAACGTCATTTTGGGGAAGCAGCCCCTCCACCACCACCCCCTCTTCAGCAAAGCAGCCCCGACGGGGGGAACCTCTGTGCTCCGCGCCGCCGCATGCAAGAGGGGCAGGCCAGACAGGAAACTTACCTCCGGAGCGGTTCTCCTTCCCCCCTGCAGCGCCATGCGCCGATCGCCCCCACGCCTTCTCGCCCCCGGCTAAGGAGCAGGAGCCGCCGCCGCCGGGCAGAAGGCAAGGAGGCCGCCCCAGCTCCAGCCGTGCGGCGCGCTTGCATGCATTGTGCGCGAGGAGCGGGGAGGCATGCCCGGCTGCAGGCGCCGCCAGCTCCTCCTCCCCCTCCCGCCGCCGCCGCCGCAAAATTGACCCTCCTCCGCCAGCCCTGCCCCCTCCGTCTCCCCCCAAAACATCCCCACCACCACCGACCGGAGCAGGGGCGGGCCGCGCTCGGGGTACAGTCAAATCATTTGTGTTTGCATCCAGCCAGCTCTCGCCTCCCGATTCTGCATTGTTGCTCACTGGAGAGGACCGCATGGGTCGTACATTCGCTGTTTTGGCTACCGTTTGAGGGGCAGGGCTTTGAAAACGCCCTTTGCTCTCGGAGCCCCACAGCCTGCACTTCTCTCTCTCCCCCCCCCCAAATCTGTAAGCCCCCACCTTTCCTCTCTGCCCCCCCCCCCCCAATTCCCTTAACCCTCCCCCCCGCTTTTTTTTCCCCCCCACAGTTCCCTAATCCTTGCCCTCGGCCTCTTTCATCTGTCTGCACCCCCATTTAAAGATCACGCCCTTCATCTTACTGTGTTACCAATGTTCCCTCTAAGATGAGTTAGTGTGAGCTAGCTCACAGTTTTTTAGCCCTCAGCTCACACCTTTTTGTCTCAGCTCAGGAAGGATGGCTCCAGAGCAAACTAATTTATGCAGGAGCCAAATCACTTGCTCGCAACTTTAATGCCAGTACCTCACAAAGTAGAAGTTTTGCTCACAGGGCTCCACAGCTTAGAGGGAACATTGTGTGTTACCCCTTCTTTTCCTCTTCCCCGCCCCCACGGGCCCTCTGCACAGGCACCCGTCTCTCAGTCTCTCCCCCCCCATTTCCTCCCTTCATTCTCAGCCTTTGTTCTGTTTCCTGCTCTCTCTTTTTGGCCACCAACCACAGGGCACCGGGCTTTCACTCGCCTAGCCATTCACACGGGTGGGGGCAGGGTTGCCAGCTCCACGATGGGGAATTCCTGGAGATTTGGGGCGTGGCTTGGGAGTGGGGCCTAGGGACGGTGGGGTCTCGGAAGGGGAGGGATCTCAGTGAGGGGGATAATGCCATAGGGTCAATCTTCCAAAGTGGCCATTTTCTCCAGGGGAACTTGTGGTGTATTCAATGTGCCAGCTTCATCCTGGGTTAGGATCTTAATCCCTCAATTACTATTGGTAGCCCAGGAAGAGACCACCAATCACCAACATCCAGTTCCATGAGAGGGAACACTTGTGATTGGTCCTTATCCGTACACAATCATAGGTTGGTATTGTAAAATAGGGCGTGGCTATATTAGCCGGGAGAGTTTAAAAGAAGAACAGCTTCCATGCTAAAGCTGTTCTGGCTATTCGAGTTGATCTGTTGGAGTTGAGTTAGGAACTGCTGAATAAAGCTGAATCTTTTGCTGAGTCACTTTCTGACTCCTTTGTTAAGCAGCTGACTTAACAGAACTGATCTCTGTGGCCTGGAGATCAGTCGTAATCCCAGGAGATCTCCAGCCACCACTTGGAGGTTGGCAACCCTAGATGGGGGCTAAGAGGCATGGCTGGCCCCACCCCTTCTGAATCCAGGGAGAAGGGGAACAATCTAAATAGAAATAATTCAGGCATTAGCTGTTCCCATGAAGAGGTTGCCAACCTCCAGGTGGGGCCTGGAGGCCTCCGGGAGTTACAATGGCTATCCAGATGAGTGGAAACAGCCCCCCTGGAGAAAATGGCTGCTTTGGAGGGCGTGATCCCCAGTGAGGCCCCTCCCCAGGCTCCACCCCCCAAATCTCCAGGTATTTCCCAGCCCAGAGCTGGCAACCCTAGGCAATGCAGATACACAGGGGTGGGGTGTAAATGAGTTCAATGCTCTACAAGGGGTGCATGTTGCTGAGAATTTTGTCCCCGCATCCCAACCATTTCAATCTGGCTAGGTTGGGCTCCCACTCTGAGTTATATCTAAAATTTGGGTTGCACAGAGGTGGCTGGGAGGCTTGCAGAAAGCCACCCTTCGGGCAAATCTCCAAAACAGCAGTTCAGTGTATCTGCATTCACGTTGTTCACTGCTTGAGTACACATCAAAGAATTTAGAAGTAAGCACACCAGGATGCCTTAGTGAGCACGGGTTGCTTATGCATTTGCACTGGAAGCAGAATCCCCCCACCCCCCAGTGCTTGCCTTCTCCGTGTTTGGCAGCAAAGCACGAGTCCAGAATCAAGATCAGACCAGGGAAAATCTTGCTAAATAGGTATGCTGTTCCATCAGTTCCTCTGTTCATTCTTGTTTTCAGTACAAGGCATCCATCCTTTTTGCCATCCCTGGTTGGTCAGTGTAAATCAGTGGTACACAGTCCGTGGCTCATGGAAAACCATGTTTGCTGTGACGGACCAAAAGAGCCCCATTGACTTCCATGCCTGGCAAGAGGCTTGCACCTCAGGGAGGCATTCTGCCAACAGTAGCTGTTTCGAGGTGGCAGCCATGCACCAAGCCTTAACCACTTTCCTGAAAATGAGGCAGGTGCCACATTGGGGGATGGTGCTCAGAACAGCCACCCGTGATGAACACACACATGAAGCTGCCTTATACTGAATCAGACCACTGGAACTCCACCAAAGTCAACATGATCTACTCAAGACCGGTAACAGCTCTCCAGGGTCTCAGGCAGAGGGCTTTCACATCACCTGCTGCCTCGTCCTTTTTCAACTGGAGATGGTGGGGATCGAACCCAGGACCTTCTGCATGCAAAGCAGAGGCTCTTCCACTGAGCCTCAGCCCCGCCCCTGGTGGCACGTTAAAGAGCCACATGCAGCTGAGCCACTGAGTCTCACTGGTATAGATCTTTCCTAGAGACACTCAGGCTGATTTCACACTAGAGCTGCCTCGATGTTGCACCGCCATTTGCCCCGATACTATTGGTCAATTTCACACCTGAAGCTGCGGGGCTGCATTTGACCTGCGACTTCGCCCGATTTCCTCCGCAGTTTCGTGATCCTCAAAAAACAGGATTACGAAACTGTGGGGGAAATCGGGCGAAGCCGCGAGTCAAAATGCAGCCCCGCAGCTTCGGGTGTGAAATTGACCAATAGTATCGGGGCAAACAGCGGCGCAACATTGAGGCAGCTCTAGTGCGAAATCAGCCACAATCCTGTTCCCTCTAGAAGACTGCTTCCTAACTTTGCACCTAAAAGTGGGCCTCAAGCCTCCTCCAAGTACATTTTCCAGTCTCTTCTACCAATGACTACCAGCTTTAAAAAAAAACACCCTGGGGCCACTGGTTTACATGCTAGCTACAATCTCCAGTCCAGTTCTTCTGCCACATGTCTGTCCTGGATTTGAGGGCCATATTATACTCTGGGAAGAGAACATCAGTGTCCCCAAAGTTGAGTTTTTCTCGTGATGCTAATATGGTGCTGAGGAAACATGAACTGGGGCACACAGTCAGTCAGGAAGGCTGCTTAACCCTTGAAGTGAGAGCCAGTGTAGTGTAATGGTTAAGAGTGCATGACTAGTACCTGGGAAACCCAGGTGCCAATCCCCAGGTGTGCCATGGAAGCTGGCTGAGCGGCCCTGAGTCAGTCACACACTCTCAGCCTAACCTACCTCACAGGGCTGTTGTGAGAACAAAATGGAAGAGAGGAGAATGATGTAAGTCACTTTGGGTTCCCATCGGGGAGTAAGGTAAAACGTAACATTTCCCTTGCTCGAAAGCCAGTCCAATCCGACTCTAGGGTTGCGGTGCTCATCTCCGTTTCCAAGCCGAAGAGCCAGCGCTGTCCAAAGACATGTCCGTGGTCATGTGTCTGGCATGACCTAAACGCTGAGACGCACGGAACACTGTTACCTGCCCACTGAAGTGGTGCCTATTTATCTACTTGCAATTTCTTGTTTTCGAACTGCTAGGTTGGCAGGAGCTGGAACCAGAGACGGGAGCGTCATGCGGCACTACGGTGCTGAACTACCAACCTTCCAGCCTGCAGTTCAGTGGGGTATAAATGAATTAAATAAATAAATCAAGTCCGCAGCCTGTTCAAGCGCCCCCCCCCCATTTAAAATATATATATAATTTTAGAAAACAAACTAAACATCAGTGTGTCTTTTTTGGTGTGTGTGTGTATGTGTGTGTGTGTGTGTGTGTGTGTATATATATATTTAGAAAACAAACTAATAGTATAGAGGGGATACAAAAAGGAAAAGAGGGATTATACGACAATTGTATATATCAAGGATAATGATATATTACAGCATGTATAAAACAGAAAATTTTTCTTCCCAACATCCCCTTCATTACCATTTTTGAGACATTATCTCTAAAATGCAATGGTCTTTACTTCTGTTGGGGTATTTTTATATTTAACATTTTAAATTTCAAATTTCATAACCAATCTATTTTGCAACTACATTATTAGTTTCATCATTACTACATATTCAGTATTACATATTTCGCCATTTCTATATACTTGCTATAACTTTTTTTTTACTTGCTATAACTTTTAGCAGATAGGTAATATATCAAAGTACAAATGAACGTCTATTATATATCTCATCATAAGAAAATAAAAGATGTTTCTGCTCAAAATACACTTCCTTATACATTTATATTCAAAACTTGTTCTCATTCTGCTTCTGCATTGCGATACATTGATACACAATTTTTGAACTGTTTTAAATTTGTCTCCTGCTTGCATAATATACACTTTGTCTCTCCTCAAATTTCGTAATTGATCTGTTTCTCAAATAGGTTGTTAATTTTGCCATTGCTGCATAATCACAAATTTATTTTCCCATTCTTCTAAGCTTGAGCAGATGTACAATTTCCATTTTGCTGCGTAGATAATTCTAGCCGCTGTCACTATGTAAAACACCAGCGTATCTGATGAACATCAGATAGGTTTCTCTCACATCAGCAAACCGCTCACATGATAAGTTACTGGTGTGAGTGTGGCCGCTGTCACTATGTAAAACACCAGCATATCTGATGAACATCAGACAGGTTTCTCTCACATCGGCAAACAGCTCACATGATAAGTTACTGGTGTGAGTGAACCAGCTGCTGAACTGGTTGGTGCAAGTTGGAATTTTTGGGGAAATCGGGTTATTTTTATTGGCTTCCTGGATGACACATTAGGATGACACACCTTATCGTTTCACTGAACTTGGTGACATCACAACGGGTTTTGCCAGTCTTGTGCTCTGACTCACGCCATCTTTTTCCCTCCGTTAACTGGCACACAAGGAGAACTGGCCCTTGACATGATATGGCAGATGTTTGGGTCCTCCTAGAAAGGCAGGATAGGATCTGTCTT